GTAAGTTAATTATAATTTGGGTCTATTGCTCGCTTTCAACCATTCCCATGAGATTCAAAAGATTCAAGACGGGCGGCCATGTTGGATGAATGAACAATAGATACTAATGAGAAATCCTTTGTTGACGYTCAACCAAGATGACCGCTGTAATGCATATTGCAAACGAATAATTATATAGGGGATAGCTCACCGGTTGCCATGGTTCCCCTTCTTCCATGACTTTCTGAATATGGCGGAAGGGACAATGAAGGAGGCTTTTGACAAGTGTTATATATTTCTTTCRCAGATACATGGTAGACAAACACTTGACGAAAACATTGCTGATAATGGTGGAATACGAATCGCTTACGAGGTAAGCCACAGGCCTATACCAAAATAATTGTAAATCACGGTTTATATTATTTTGTTAGTAAGTCATTGATACAATTTCGGCGCTCGATTTTTCTTATAATATTCAACGAATTGCCTTCCAATTTTCAGAAATTGCTGGAGATATCAGTGATGATTTTCAGACTTTTGATTTAATGTATTGATCGTTTTCAACCATTCCCATGAGATTCAAAAGATAAAAGACCGACGGCCATGTTGGAGGAATGAACAATAGAATGATACTAATGAGAAATCCTTGGTTGAAGTTCCTCCAAGATGGCCGCTGTGACGTACAGTGAAAACGAAGAAGACAACAACGCTCAACTATTCGTATTGTGTTTTTTTTGACAGGCCTACTGCACATCTCTAAAGTTCGATGGCCCCGACCAATCGTTACCGGGAATCAACTTGACACAAAAACAATTGTTCTTTTTATCCTTTGGTCAGGTGARTACTACTGTGTAAAATYCCATAATGTCAAAAGCGGATTGGTTCTCTCACCTTATGACGTCACGTGATTTCCGGTGAAATGCACTATGGGATCGATAAGTACAACAAGAAGCCATGTTGCTTTTTTTCAGTCTATTTACACACAAAAAACTTACTTAATTACTACACAAGTCTTTGTGAATGCTCTATAGTGTGTATTCATCGTATTGAAAGTGCTTTTGAATTATTCTAGATAACGGATAACGTGATTTTGCATAGAAAATTCGTACTTTGCAGTTTTCTTGAAGCTTCCGCCATCTTGAAACTTTTATCAATACCATAATGCAATTCGCCGAAACAGACATGACGTTATAATGGGAAACGGCTGTAGTTTTAGCATTCACCAACCAATGTATTTGTTTTTCAGCTATGGTGCAAGCACAAACCAAGAGCATCAGCCATCAATTCMTTRCATACAGATGTACATAGCCCGGCCAAGGCGAGGTAAACACTATAAACTTGCTTGACTTAAGCACCAAACATAGCCGAAGATAAAGCATTTATTTTAAGCAGATTCTAAGCTTTTAGAAATAGACTTCAGATTTTTTTACGCCACTGCTTGATTTGAAATGCATTGTGAAGATCAGTTTCTGGAGAAAACATAAGAAAGCCTCCATGTTCTGACTCAAGCATGTCCTACAATGCATTGTGTATAAAATATATTACAGAAATGACAGAAAGGTTCCAGAGGTTTATAGTGTTCTCTACCCCACTGGAAAAAATCGCGCGCTATAAAGGTTGTAAATTTGATGTATATTCTTGGCTTTCACTGATCACGTGATAGTCTAAAAAAGCTATTTAGAGGCAGAATTATCAAACTTTTATTAATGTTCTCGAGAGAACATCTTAATTTAAGGACCATGACGAAATTTAGAGCCGAAATAATGAATTTTAACAGAAATAYGAGSGATCGAAAATTGSTAAGAWTGTATGGGATTAGCACGGCTCAATGCGTTTTGGACTGATCAAGAAATGCCTACAAAAAGCTTTGTTTTAAGATTCAAATTAATTTTTAAGTTCAAGGATCAAAAAAGTATATAACTCCCAACAGTTATGCAAAGTGTGAATTAAAACTGTGATTTCCTAGCAAAAATATAAGCGTTTGAATACGGTCTTACTTTACAAAGAAATGTATGGGGCCGCCATGATTGTGTCCCCGTCAGGGGCTTCAAAATGGCGGACCGTAACTCCTAGTATCGAATTGAGCTCAAAACTGATGATTTTGCTTTAACTTTACAACAGTATCATTGTAAACATTTAAATTGATGCTGAAACTATAATTGTTTTAAGATTCATAGGCTTTTCGAGTATTTTTGGCGTGTATCAAGTCGCGTGGCAGTCATTACGTAACATATTTTTGAACGCTAATAACTCAACGAATAAACAGTAAACAAAGTTTAAACATTCAGAGCGAACTTCTATCATGCTCTTCAAGATATTTCAGTACCACAATGTTGTGTGTCTGTGATTTTAGTTTTTTTTTTCGACTGATGACGTCATGTGCAAGCCAAGAATATGATGTAAGTGTCCAAAATGATGTAAATTTGATGGAAATCATTTACATCAAATTTACATCATTTTGGACACTTACAACATATTTCCATCAAATTTACAACCTTTATGGTGCGCGATTTTTTCCAGTGCCCCGGCAAATAACTGTACTAGGTTTCACTGGAAAAGTTGATCAATTTACAGACAAAATGTCCTTTTACAAACTTTGTAAATAAATTTTACAAGATATTTACAATGTTTGGTTGAGCACAATTTACAAGATATTTACAAACTTTGTAAAAGGACATTTTGTTTACAGTATATTTACATATTATTTACAAACTCTTGTAAATTGTCAACTTTTCAATTCCAGTGTTTAAATGGAGTGGCTTTAAAAAACCCGTGAAACAAATAGTAATAATCGAAAATAAAGAAAAACCTTAAAAGTATAGAGGAGTTCAAAATGTAACAGGCTAAATATACTAAATGCCTGTTTCTTTGTCTTTCAGAGTCAATGTTGTTCTACAAAATATGAAGGAATTTGCTGAAACGTTCAACTGTCCAAAAGGATCTCCAATGAACCCTGAGAAAAAATGTGTGATTTGGTGATCTTGGAAGCTCAATATTTAACGGGATAGCTAAATATAATTATTTTTACAAATAAATTAGAATTAGCCACGCACTTTGCAAATAGTAAATAACTACTAATGATTTCTAATTAGACTTAATARTATGGTCTGGATGAAACTWACTGKCTGACAAATGGCTAAGAATTTATCCGACAAATTTCTAAAGGCCRAACAAGACGATACCCTTACAAATATCGTATGCAACCTTTGAAAGTCATCCTTATAATGTGGCGACAATTGTCTTAGCGCTATTAAGCAATTGTTTTAAATCTCTACGACAGCTTGTTGTAGCCATGTTGAAAGGATGACTATGGCATGCTGCATTCGATGGTTTGTATGCAAAAGTTGTACCGTCTAATTCGGCCTGAAGAATCTCGTTTAAAAATAAAAACTACGTCAATTTGAAATGGGAATAGAATGGTTATATTTTTATGGGTTTATACCTTATATTTATTCAGCCTAATTATGGCTGTTTAATTTGAGACTGAATAAAAAATACTTTGAAATAACACTGTTTCTACTCAATTCACTATCTCKTATCCCGAGCTTTCGTTTTTCTTRGTCAGYACCGTCGACAAAAAAATTCCGGTACCCTAGAGTCTTACGTTTCTGGCTCTGGCCAAGAAAACGAAGCTCAATTCATTCAAGTGAACATTCAATAAGCGTATGACCGCTGCTCTATTTGACGGCAGACTCAGTTGCGCAATGACTCTGAAGGCCGATTTATACGACACAACTTTTCCCTACAACTACAGTTATTCTGTCATTCATTCATTCATTCATTCAGTCAGTCATTTAGTCAATTCATTCAAGTGAACATTCAATAAGCGTATGACCGCTGCTCTATTTGACGGCAGACTCAGTTGCGCAATGACTCTGAAGGCCGATTTATACGACACAACTTTTCCCTACAACTATCGCATGCGACCTGCGTANACAAACTTTGTAAATAAATTTTACAAGATATTTACAATGTTTGGTTGAGCACAATTTACAAGATATTTACAAACTTTGTAAAAGGACATTTTGTTTACAGTATATTTACATATTATTTACAAACTCTTGTAAATTGTCAACTTTTCAATTCCAGTGTTTAAATGGAGTGGCTTTAAAAAACCCGCGAAACAAATAGTAATAATCCAAAATAAAGAAAAACCTTAAAAGTATAGAGCAGTTCAAAATGTAACAGGCTAAATATACTAAATGCGTGTTTCTTTGT